AAGATTAAGTCTGAGTTCACAACCCTAGAGATCCTTTATTACTTCTTCTGAGTAAGACAACTAATACACCAAGCCAGGTGGATCTATTTCACCTAATAAAGACAAGTGAACATGAAAAAATACGGCCAGCCTAAATCAGGTTTCGACATAAAATCTTTGCCCAAACTTTAAGTAGAACTCTGACTTCCGTATTCGAAATCTATAAGCTTCGCTTTGAGGGACTCGACCAATTCTGTGAAAATTTTGCATGGCCAGTTTTCCTAGTAAACGCGTCAACAATGTGGTCTTATATTTATGAAAAATCATCTATGAGAATTTTTTGCTTGCTCTCAACTAATCTTCGAATGTTTTTACCGTTGTATACTGTAGAAATAATTTTAAAAATAGCGTTTCATTAACTAACAATATTTTCAGAGGGCAAGCTCTAGATTTTTGCGTGTCTCTTTTCAAAGAAGAGATATCGAGGCTTAATTCACCTTTTAAAAAAATTCGAAAATTAATTAATTTCATTTTTTCTCCCACTACTTATGTATGTATGCAAGTGAACCTATAAATAGACCCATTCACAGCTCTGCAGGTCAATTAAAATTACTTTTGTAAGTATGTGCTGCTGTAAGTGGTTAGTATTAAATGCGCGCGTGCAAGTGGGCGTTGAGCAGGAACACTCGTTATTTTCATGTAATTATCTCGAAATTAAGTACTCTCCGGTGTTTACAATGTAACACATAGGCGCATGCATGCAAACGCATTTATTAACAGTGTGCGATGAAAGTGGGAGTACATGCAAAAATGTATGATGATTTGTGGCATTTATGCTGAGGGCACTTTTTGGAATATCTGACTAAAGTAGTCTCCCTCGAACTGTTAAAAAAATAGTTAGATTGTGTAGTGGACTTAAGTGAAGCTTCAATAAATACCAGGGTACTTTATAGGTCCATTGTACAATCCATCGTAAGTTTAAATCATGCTCAAGGTAAAATGTTTATTCCATCTGCTGTTGCTCTCCAGTTGGCAATTTCAAACTTACGCGTACATATTTTTTTACCTTTAAAATATTTCTCCTAAAAACTTTTGAGGCGCTAGACGTCTCTTTAAATATGTTAATAACTCCATTTGTGGCGAAAAATCAATATTGAAATTGTATGTAGATGGCAAAATAGCTCCCAAAGTCCAATGTTATTTAGTCTTAGTATATTGAAAACATTTTAAATCTTCTACATAAGGGATTTTATTTAGACTTACACCTTATTTTACAATAATAAACCTTAAAAGATTTTACGTGCAAAATCTAATATCCAACGTTTATAGGACATGCTGAAAATACTAAAAATTCATCTGCCATGCTCGTATAGAACTGAAACAAACTGAAGTTATCAAACACCTTTTGTTTAGAGAGATGATCTCAGCTGCACCATTTTTCGAAAGCTATTCAAAAGCTATTCGAACCGCCGATATTAGACAACTAGAGCGTAAAGCTGGCATATAAACTGACCGATTGTAATAAAGTCATTATATAGAAAACTTTTTTATTTGACAAGTTATCTTTACGAAATTTAGCACAGATTATTGTCCCAGACAATAGTACAATATCCAAATCAGTTGTTCTGATCCGACTATTATAGCATATAGCTGTCATACAAACTGGCATATCCAAAACTAGTCCTTGTATGGAAATTTGTTATAATTGGCGAGATATCTTGACGAAATTTGGCATAGATTATTATACAAGGCAACGCTATCAACTCCGCACAAAGCTTTTAGATCGAATCACTATAGCATAAAGCTGTCATACAAACTGGTCGATCAAAATCAAGTCATCGTATGGAAAACTTTTTTGTTTGTGAATGTATGGTATATATATGTATGTATATATGTAGCTTCGGTGCAACCAAAATTAATAAATTTTCTTTTTTTCCTATCAAAGTTGTTTCCCTCTATTCGAATTTTTTTCGTTCACACTACTATTAACCAATGTATGAGCGTTATGTGCTTGCAACCTTAAACAAATTACGTTAACGATCAATTTTCCACTAAGCGAGCACATACGTATTGAAAATATTCCACATAAATAGTATACAACAACAACCAATTAAAACATATATGTATGTGAGTATGTCTGAAGTGGCGAGTTATTTACAACATTGTTAACCCCTTTAAGCGACTTTTAAAGCAATTATGACCACCGAAAGCACATATAAACTTATAAATATATATACAGAACAATGTTCGAAACTTCAATGACGGTCACTCGCAGTACCGTCGGTCATTTAAAAGTGCGTATAGTAGAGGGCATACATATGTGAGTGTGTGATTCAGATCATTATATATATACATATACATATACATATACCCTTTACTCAATTACACACCAACGCGTGGCTAAAAGTAAATTTAAATAATCGAATACTTCACCGCTGTGTGGAATGTACATACATACGAAAACATACATATACACCTATATACCCACACATATAACCAATCAAGCTACTCTCTGCCTTGTACAAAGTTTACCCACCACAGAGCAGGAAATGACAAGATTGCGCTTAATTTCATAAAAGTTTTGTTCCAGTAACACAACAACAAGAAAGACAAAAAGAAAAACGAAAACAATAGTAACAATAACAAGTCGTGGTTAGCTGTATTAAATAATAAATAGAATTTGTGATAGCAAAATTGCGTAGAAAGTTGCAACTAATTTGTAAAACAACTGAACAAGTATTAAAAGCAAATAGTAGAAAATGAAAGGAAACATATAAAAAATTAATAAAATGATAATCTAAAACTTTTCTAACTTTTATAGAAAAGACAAGTCGAAGAGCTTTAAGTTCATCAAAGTGTCTGAGGTTCTTACCTCAAGTAACCTGGTGGGCGCAACACGCTCAAATATATATATTATTATCTTGTATAAAATAGGCTTACAGTTTAGGTATATTAAATAATATATTAACTGGTGGGTCAGTTACTATTTTATCATAATTTTTCTTGCTGCAAGTACTGATATAAAAAGTAATGAAAATATATTCAGTGCTTTCAAATATTTTGAGACTCTTAATACTAAATCATTATTTTACATTTGGTAATGGCATCTGGAGAAGTTTTACAAGAAATGTTAATATAAGTAAAGATATTCACTACTCACCACTTCTGTTGAGAATTTCAAATATCTGTAAAATTGAACGAAAATTTTAACTAGAATTGGTATATACAAAGATTCAGAGTAAGTATAATAATATGTAATTCAAAGGTCTTTTATGTTTATAATCTGTTGGAATTCCAAGCTTGAATGCTAATGGAGTTAAAATTCTTTCTGGAAAACATAAGATTAAGTTTTTAAATAATTTTAGGCCTTCAAAGGATTTCGAACTCTCGAAGCTTAGATTCGAGGTACCAGTTAGACTAAATACCACGTTGTAGGAGAAGAAACTTGGTGAAATATCATTCATTTTTATTATTATTATATTAATACTAGAGTGTATCAAAAGTGCTTCTCAGAAACGGTTTTGATTGTTTTACATTCTTTTATCCAGTATAAGGTGAGGCGAATACTTGGTTAAACAAACTTTGGTAGTACAAAGGTTCAAGAATATATAAACATTGAAAGCGGGCACGAAATTCAAAGGTTTAAGTCAATAGCCTATAAGCCATTGACGTAAACTTTTTAAATTTAACTACACCGCCCATGTTGTCCTTATTAAAAATTGTTGTCTAAAGTATAAAATATAATAAATGCACCTCCGTTGAAGAAGAAGATTAATTAAGCAAACATTTTTATGGACTTTTATCACCGTGACCTGGCGTGGCGCAAGACAGTGCTAATGCCTGCGGTGAACCGGTTAAAAGCAAGGAACAGCAATAAATGCGAAAGGTGTGACCTTTTGCACAGGCAAATCAATTTGTAATTGAGAAAGTGTGTGAGAGAGTAGCTCGAGGTGGGAGAGAGAGTTACACCGATGTGAAAGCGCTGAAAGGGATTCTTGCACAATTATAATGAATATATTTTTTGAGTTTTTATTTTAAATTTTATTTAATTTTAAAATTAGTATTATGTTAATTTAATTTAATTTCATTTAAATTTTAATTTTGATTTGTTTTGATTTATTTTAATTTTAATCTTGATTTTGATTTGGTTTAAAAATATGAATATATTATAAACGTTATTAAATATAATAATACTATTTAATTATAAAGTCATATATTTTTACAGGAGCCTTGGCTACTTGAAGCTTCAATTTAAAAATTGACAAATCGCGTTCATACAAAAATGTATATATATAAAATAAAAATTTAATTTGACTATTTATTTGCCGTAATAATTTAGGTACAAAGTTCAATATACTCTAATTTAGGTGAAATTTTATTAGAAAACAAAATTGAAATTGTTAAAATATTTCAAATTTCTAAAATGCCTTTATGTTTTACAAGTATATTTTACTAAAATAAAATAAATATAGACATATATTTTTAATTTATTTTGCAGAATGAGAGAATAAAAATTATTTTAAAAATTAAATTTTGGGATTAAAAATAATTAAACAAATAAAAATTGAGTAAAATTCATTAAAGTACTAAACTATGGATTATTTGTTAAACCAGTTAGTAATTTTGAGAAGCTCATCGATAAAGTGCACAATTCGGAAATTTCCGAAAACCATTGAAAATCACAGAAGCGTGTCGCTCATACGCACCGGCAAACCAAAGGCATACACATAATAAATTACTAACAGCAGTAAAGGCATAAAAGGTACAAAAAGTGTGTGAGTGGGTGTACAACCATAAATCGACAACAACTATAGGACGCAACAAACACACGCAATGTCAGTTCGAAGAGGGATTGCGAATTACTGAAGTGATTATATAAGCGCAACTAATTAAATGAAGCTAATTTGTGCAAGTGCGGCTGGTGTCTATAAAACGTAATTAGACAAAACGTGCATAAAAATCAAGACAATACCTTGAATACACAACAACAACAAGAACAAACATCTTAAGCATCTAGCAGCATGACTGAGAACAAGGATAAACACGCCGCCAACAGTGGCGGCAGCACAGAAATCGCCAGCAGTCACAACAACAACGCGCAAGGCCATAGCAGTGGCAACACCAAGCCGAAGGATAAGAAAAATGACAACGAAACGACGGTCGCGCTGGCGGATACGCAACATGAGCGGGAAAAGGATAAAGAGCCGCATGACAGGTGAGTGCAAAAGTGTGGCAAATGAGAGCGAATGCTAAAACTGAATATGTACAGCAAGACACATACAAACATAATTGTGTATGATAAATATTTTTACAGCAATGTGTATATATACCGTTGTGTATATAAATATATTTACAAAGTGCTCATGCTCTGTATATATAAAAACGAAAGCGTGTTTTTGTTGGCCTGCCGCCTGGCTGCACGTTGCTGTCAATACACGTTGGGGAAAATTGTGTTGTACATACATATACATATAATTATTTGTATAAATTTCTTTGCAAGTGTTTACATGTAAGCGGCGAGGAAAGACAAACGACTGCAATAACTGAGCCAAATGATATGTTTTAATAAGCTTAGTTGCGCGAGTGGATTTACTTTGCTGGCTACAGTTGTACATTCCTACATACTTATATATATATATAATATATAAACTTACATACAGTTAAAAAGAACTTGTATATGACTGCAAAAGTCTCAATTTTTCATTTAACTTTACCTCAATTTCGCGCTGTGCCTTTTTTGGCCGCGCTGAATAGCACAATATATAAGAAAGTTATTTATAAAAGCTCATCATCTAAGTGGATTAACCTTGGTTGACATTAAGTAAAACAGAAATAAATAATATTGATAAAAAAATATTATTAATGGAGAACCTGTAAAATGGTTTGTATTTATGCATGTGTTTATATGGAGAGCATTATACTTGTACTGAATATAAAACTTTGGTGGCTTAAAGGCTGCTTGATTGTGAAGCACGGCAACCAAATGGCTATGCGCTACACTTGCTGTCAAATAAAAAATAAATATTTTTAATTTAGACAAATTAAAATTTCACTTACACATATTAAATTTTATCTTGGAAACTTTCGTACAGAAAAAACTTATATAAGCATAACATAATAATTAGACCACTATACTTTTTAAAATAAAATGAGTAAAATTAGAGATATTGAAAGAATCAAATTACAAACATTTTTATTGTTGTTAAAATTGTTTAAAATTATACCACCTTAATTTCCAGAAAACATGCAAAATTGTAAAAATCATAAAGCGTTGCCTACATTTGGGCCATTTTAGCGAAGTCGCATACCTAAACTACATAAGACAAATTAGGAAACTTATACTATGAGTGGGAAATATATCAAAGTTAAACTCACATTACTTTATCCAAAACGTTCAAAATTGGAATAAATCCCAAACGTTGCATACTGTTTTAGTTGTTTTCGCGAAATCGTGTGTCTGAAGTACTAAATTCCTATTAGTAAAATATATGGCTTAACCTCTCGCCAACCAAATAAAATTTATTTCCTAAATTACAAAAAATTCAGTTGTTTCTTTGCTGAAATATCCCAACATCTTCGCTTTTGTACTCATTGGCATTAGGTATTTAGTCAGCAATATATTTTTAGGTTTCAAAACCATAGTTCAATAATTGCAATCAAACTTTGCCTATATTTAGGCTCTTTTAAGAGAATTCACATACCTCAATCGGTATTAGTGCAATTAGTTTATTGTTCATAAATGTTATAAACAAAGTGAAATAATTATTCACCACCATCAACAAATAATTGAGAAAAATATTGCTATTATTTTATGAATTTTTCTTTGTTTTCTTGTGTAAAATACCAAACTATATTAGTCATATACATATTTTCGCCTTCAAAACCACCGCAATTACAATCAAATGTTGTCTACATTCAGGCTCATTCAATCGTTTTAACAAAGTCACGTACCCTAATTGACATTAGCATAATACGTTATTTGTTTAGAAAATTTGAACACGTCTTTCTAATAATTTCGCATTAACTAAGGCTAATTTAATTTTAATGAATTACTTAAGTACTGCACTTAATTCTCTAAAAAACTTTATTAAATGATAGTGTAATTATATTTGATAAAAAAATGCACAGCAATCTTATTAAATGTTAGTTTTTAAAAAACAGCTTAATTAATGATTACCATTCAAATAATGGAATTATTTAATTAAAACCTAATCAAAAACTATGCGTATTTACATGGCATTTTGTAAATAAAAAATATGGTTGCATAAAAACGCAATTATGCCGTTATTGCGGAAAAACAGAGAGTTGAGTATATCGCAAAAAATTTAAAAATAATTATAAAATATATATTTAGCATATGTAGGTAAACACGCCGGGTTTTAAATAACGAACAACATAAATGTATATTTGCTTCTTTCGGATAATATTTGAAAAAAGCTGCACAAAAATAAACTCAAATGATTCAAATAGTGTAAACAGTTATTTAAAAATATATGTTTACTCCAATTAAATGTTTTTTTTGTAATCTCAATAAACAGGAAAATAATTATGTATTAAAAAATGTTAAGTGAACAAGGGTACGATATTTTTCGTGATACATTTATTTACGCATAAGTAATTATACATTTATAAGTATATATATCTCAACATATGTATATCTTGCTTACACATAGATATATACACATATACACATACTAACTATAGTTTCAGCACACATTTCTACCAATTACTTGCTAAAACATTTGCTTTGGGCTTAACTCGCCTAATCCACTCGACATTAGTAATATTTTAATGGGTGCAAATTAATAAATTTTAGTGGCTAAAATTTAGCTTAGGGACAGTCATTTAGCTTAAGGACAGTCATTAATAGGTTGGGAAAATACAGACAGACATACATATGCAAATATACCATATATGAGGTTTGCCTTAAAAAATGGTTTTCTGACTTTACATGTATACATATATATACTTAGCCGACATAAAAGCAGCTGTTTCCGAATAGCTTTTTAAGCTCGTATTATTTGACAGATATTTTGTAATATTTTGAAAATGTTTACCTTGTTCGATTAAGGGCAACTATGTTGGAAAGTTTTGTTATATTATAACCTTTCCTATGTTTGCAGAAAGCTCTCTTAAGCTCTACAGGTTACACATATATTTAAAAAAAATTTTTTTAACTTTTAATTTTTTGGGTAGGTGGCAACTTTATTCCAACATAATTTGTAATGATTTGCACAACTTTATTTCTCCGACTCCGACTGCCAAATCTATTTGTAGATTTTTCTACGTAATTTTTTTGAAAAAGCTTTCTCAAGCTCGACAGTTACCATTTTATCTACATATGTATATGTGGCAACCATATTGTAAACAATTTTTAATTTTCCTTTAGAATACTTGCTTACATTTTGTGTTTTTTTTATTATATTATAGGGGGCCACTTTTTTCTAAAATATGACTAGAATGTAGCTGTCCAGGAAACTTTCGAATTGTATTTGTTCCTTCGCTTTTTCAAATGCGCTCGTTTAAATTCCAAAGAATTTTCGCATGAATATATCAAGTGCGAGTTTTTAGGGTCTATAAAGTGTTACTATAGTATCGCTATCTTTCTGGATCAAAATTAGTTATCTGACACATAGACTGTAATCAGACAGTATGATAGGGCTTCCTGTCAGCTTGTACTAATCCTAGGCGTTGAAACTAATAACTAGCATCTAATTTCATCCTTGAAACTCCTTAAAGCTCTTCATATTCTCAGGAGAAGAATAAAAGACTTTACTTATGACCTCATATTTCCATCATAACACAGTTTCTTAGAGATATTTACATTTCATATAGATAATATTAACATAATATAGAGTTATTTAAAACCTTTAGATAGTTTTGGAGATTAATGCACTAATATAAGGCATATATTGGTTGGGTTAACAGTACCTCGAAAACAAAAATATTTAATTATTCGAGAATGTATATTTTTATTTTGCGAGAAAAATCATTTTTTTAAACCTCTTGTGTTTTGGAAAATTCACTTAGGTTATTTTAAGGCTTAAGCTTATCTATATTTATGGTGTTGTAAGCCTTCGTTAACTTTAAGTGACCTTTAACAAAAGTCTTCAATAACTGTTTCCAAGCAAAATTCCTTAAGCTAGGTGCATAGTAAATTGATGTAGAAAGCAGTGGTGGGGAGTAGCAAGAGAACAATTTCAAAATACCCAGAAAATATTTGAAGCATGTCTACTAAATGAGTTACATTGTACTTATCCGTAATTCTCTATGATTTCACTGCTTGCTGATTTACTATGTACCCGCCTTTGATTCTAATTTTACAATTTTGTCTTTTGCCATGTTTTTCCCCTCGAGTCTAAGTCAGTTTATTATTTATTTACTATAAATAATAAATTTCGTTGCGTCGCTTTAAGTGCTTAACTCCTTACTCCTTTTATTAAAGCTTTAAGATATTCCCTTTCAACCGTTAGGTACACGTTTTCCCCAAACGCCATTAAATATGCTGTTTAATGTGCGCATTTTCTTCGAACTTAATGTCGATATAAAAGCTAAAAGTTATTTTTAATATACATTTTTTGCCTTGTCAAAACAAAAGCTTTGCTTTATTGAAACTAATGGAATAAATATTTATGAAAGCAAAATGGGATTTTCGCGTCTAAAATTAGACTTATGAACAACAGCATTACCGAATTCTATAAATTATTTTACCCACTTAAAGCGCTTAACTACTACGCACACACATATATGCATAGAAATTACCAAAGGATATAATCCGCGTATACTGCACTTACTCGCTCTTGGACGCTCAAACGCTCAGCGCAAATTAGTTTTTTATTTATAGTTGCAGCAAAATGGAAGCATTCACGAACCCAAAGTGCGTTGGCGTGCTGTGAGAGGAGCAGGTGCAGTCGTAATTGGCAGCGCGCTAAAGCTTTCATTGTATCTCGCTTTAAACTATAACTTTGCTGCTCGTGCGTATGCCTCTGTGTATGTGGGCGAGAAGAACTTTTCCTTCTCAAATCAGCTGCGTGATTAATCATAATCAGCCAAAGTTTGTTGGCTTTCGCGTATCGACAGTAAATTCGCAAATCGAAACCCCCGTAGGTAATGTTTCACGAGGTTATACACTAGGGAATTTTGGGCGTCGAAGTCGGTTCTGTTGCAGAATCTCACAATAATTTGCTCTACAGAACGGCTGTTTTCACTCCGAGA